TTGTAATTGCGATTATTATTGTTGATTAATAGATTTTATGTTTTATAACTTTCTGTGAAGCAGCTGCATGGTACATTCTCAACATCCAAAACTAAATGATATAATGTAAATAACAAATAATTATGGGAATTGTGTTGTTAGTAAAAAATCCAAAAAGAATAACTTCAATTTATCAATTTTACAATCGCTGATTTACCAGTGTGTTTAGTGCTTAAACATACTGCCGAAACGCACAGATATGAGCACAAAGGGACAGCTGTAATTGAGGATTTTGGTGATTATGTAATTGTTTCACCCGTAATTGTAATCCCGATTAGTTTTACGATTAATTGTGCAGCCCTAGGAATCACTATGATTTGGAAAATGACCGTCCATTGTACTATACACGACACACGAATCGTTACACCCCTAGTGATTATTTTGACAGATACATTTGTTCATATTATTAGATTTTTTTTTATTTTGGATATGTGTATTTTACATTTTATGCTTACGTTAACTAATTGTTTGTTTTCATATCCTTCTTTGCAAAGAACTTGACCTGCCTGATGATGGGGAGGACAACAAGTTCCAGAAAATGCCATGCTTTACCCACACCCTTCAACTCACATTGAAAGATGCCATGAAGCACCCAAATGCTGATTCACAAGAGCAAGACACCTGGTAAGTGCTGTGAGGAAATCATCAGTGGCAAATGAAGCATTGATCAAAAAGTGTGGCAAAATTCTGGTCCGGGATTGTAGCACACACTGGAACAGCACATTTGATATGCTGAGAAGACTGCTGGAGATCAGAGCTGAACTAAACCAAGTACTTGAGGAGTTGAGCATAGACATACTTCTCACAAGCGACTGGACTAAGCTTGAGAAATTGGTCAAGCTACTTGAGCCCTTTGCTATTCACACAGACCAGCTTCAGAATGACAGCCAGTCACTCTCACAAGTAGTGCCATGCCTGCTCAACCTCGAGGCACACCTGCTGACCACTACTGCTGGAAAGCAGTTAGCACAAGTGCTGCTGAAGTCTTTGCGAGAACGTTTTTCTGCCATTCTTAGTCCTGATTCCCCACAGTTTGATGCTACACCAGCAGCAGCCTGCCTAATGGATCCAAGTGTTTCACTGGTTCTTCAAACACCAGACACAGTGCCACTGAGGAGGGCAGCTCAGTCTTTTGTGCAAAACCTGGCTGCTGCTCAGAATAACCTAGCTACTGCTTCTCAGGATGATGTTGCCACTGCAAGGGCCAGTCAAACTCCAACAAGTTCCCCTCCTACTATCCTACAGAAATACCGCTTTCTTGCATCCAGGATGGAGGTCAACGTGTCACTGACAAATCAGCCTGATGTGACCAATAGTCTGGTGACTGAAATAAATAAGTATGTTGATGGTGTCAAACACGGTGTCTTTAATGAGACACCACTGCAGTTCTGGAGGTCAAGAACGGCTGTCTATCCAAAACTTGCCCTTGTGGCATTGGACCTTGTTAGTGCCCCTGCCTCACAAGCCTTTGTGGAGTGCATCTTCTCTGTGTGTGGACTGTTGTCATCTGGCCTTAGAAACAGAACAACCACATCTCTTGAGCAGTGTGTTTTCCTCAAGATCAACAACAAATTGTTGCTTGACTGAAGTTCACCCATTTCTGTTTACACACACACACACACAAAAATTTCAAAAAGATTAATTTTAAGATAGTTCGGTCATTCATTCATAATGCAAAGGTTGTCAGGTTGTTCATGATTTCTTAGATTGAGCTCCCTGGGACTCCTGGTTGCCATGCATGTTTGTTTTTATGTTCATGTTTGTCTTTAGTCTGTTGGCTATGTTAATTTGTACTCAGCACACTGTGTATCTAACCTCAGAAGCAGCATTGCACAAATATTGTACTTAGGGCTGTTATCTTGTGGGCTGTTGTATTTCAATTTGAGGATGGGTGTTCATGTGTCTTCTGAATACATGTTTCAAAATGTATCTTTGGTTGAGTTTTTATTATACAATACTTATTCTGGTGATTTTGATTCATGCACCAGACAAATATCCTAATTTTCAAAAAAAAAAAAAAACTAAAACTAACACTGTAACTAATAAAAACTAAACTAAAATTAAGCAATTTCAAAATATAAAAACTAATAAAAACTAGTAAATCTGCCTCTAAAAACTAATTAAAACTAACTGAATTTGAAAACAAAAAGTCAAAACGAAATAAAAACTAAAACTAATGAAAAATCCAAAACTATTATAACCTTGGTGTGTGTGTGTGTTTATGTGGGATTTGAGTGTCAAGAAGAGCTGAAGTTATTTTAAATATAATTTTTTTATATGACTTTTGAATTGCTGACACTATGACTGAAATCCTTATTTTCCGCTTTGCTGTACCAGAGAACCTGTTAAATTTCCAAAACACTAATCAGACAGTTATCAATCCTGTCAGATAGGGATGAAATAGTGATACTTTATTCATCCCCCTGGTAAAATAGTGCTGTCGCCTCTCTGATCTTGCTCTCTCTGACACACACACATACAGGTGAGAGGTCAGAGCGCAGGGTTGGCCAGCATCCAGCACCCCTGAAGCTGGGGGGTAAGGGCCTTGCTCAAGGGCCCAAAACCAGCATCACTCTGTCGGCCAGGTATTTAAACCAGTGACCTTCTGACCACAGGCACAGAGTCCAAACCTACTGGACCACACACCACACCAAGAATGTTAAAAGATATATACATATCCTGCAGTATCCAACATTTAAAAGAATTCCTAGGTGGTCTTTATAAATATACACTAATTGTTTTGATAAAAGCAGAATCATGAATAACATCTGTACTTCTTTAGCAACAGACGGATGTAAGATCACTTACAGAGCTGTCCTAGATTTCTTGATCACAGGCAGCAGCCTCTGAAGACCTTCATCTGATCTGATGTATATCTTCAGATCAAACACATCCAGCTCCTTATCTGACATCAGTAACACAAAGGCCAGAGCTGACCACTGTGCAGGTGAGAGGTTTTCTACTGAAAGACTTCCTGAACTCAGGTATCTTTGTACTTCCTCTATTAGAGAATTGTCACCCAGTTCATTCAGACAGTGGAACAGGTTGATGGTCCTTTCTGCAGATAAATTCTCCTGTATTTTCTCCTTGATGACCTGGGTTGTTTCCTTAATCTTATGTGAACTGGTTCTTGTCTGGCCCAGTAGCCTTTGTAACAGAGTGTTACTGGAGTCTGTTGAGAGGCCCAGGAGGAAGCGGAGGTAGAGGTCCAAGTGTCCATTCTTGCTCTTTAATGCCTGATTCACTGCAGTCTTCAGCAGATCAGCTGATGAGTTTGACAGAAACACATATAAAGCAGCGAGATACTCCTGGATGCTCAGATGCACAAAGCAGTACACCTTCTCCTGATACAACCCATAGTCCTCTTTAAAGACTGCTGTGCACACTCCAGAGTAAACTGCAGCCTCTGTGACATCAATGCCGTTCTCTGTCAGATCTTGTTTGTAATATATGAGATTGCCTTTCTCAAGGTTATGAAAAGCCAGTTTACCAAGTTTTAAAAGGAATTTCTTCCCAGATTTAGCACATTTATTAACCTTGATTTTATGTTTTTCCAAATACTTTTCATTTTTTAAACTCCCCTGAAAGATCAGGAAGTGTGTGTACATTTCAGTCAGAGTCCTTGGAATTTCTCCACTGTCAAACTCACTAAAAAGACATAAGAACATAAGAACATAAGAACTATACAAACGAGAGGAGGCCATTCGGCCCATCGAGCTCGCTTGGGGAGAACTTAACTAATAGCTCAGAGTTGTTAAAATCTTATCTAGCTCTGATTTAACCCCTTGGAACCGGCGATCCCGCCGGCGGGATC